TAGAAAATATACTCCAGAAAGGCTAGGTACAGAATATTTTGATATCTACACTGATGTCAGTTAGTGAGACATGAGTTGTCAAAGCTGCTGAGATAAATATTTAGATCTAAAACTGATTAATAATTTGGATTTCATCATATATACATTAGAATGATAGAAACATAGCCATAGTAGAAACATCAATAAATTTACATATAAAATTTAAATAATAACTGTAACAATACATATAAATGCTTTGCTGTTAGGCAATATAAACTGCAATTATACTGCTATTTTAGTGTTTATCAACTAACATTGAAGTGCAGATTAGTAGCTTTTATTTTTTTAATTATCATTTATTTTTAATTTTTTCACTCAGTTGAGTCATCTTTAGCAATGTAAAAATTTTTTTTCAGAATGTCAGATCTGTCATAAATAAATGTTTTGTGCTTTTGGCTATCTTAAATGAATTTTATGATTTTATAGTTTTAACTGAGAGTTAGGATGTCCCAAATTCTAATAATAATGTAAACTTTATTGATTACCATGAGCATTTATCTATTTCTTTAATGTGATCCATCAATGCAACTGAGACATTCTTGTTACTTTTAGCCAACAGCTGTATGTTGATACTTTTTGAATATAAAGATTCAATCATTGCTGTCAAAATTCCAAAATTAAGCTTATAATTGTTGTTTATTACCCCCATCCTGAAAGAGGGGCACTTTCATAATGTGTCATGTTATCTCACTTTATCCTTAGTTGAATACATTTTAAACTTTCATTATGTGACAATTTTAACTTGTCAGATCTCTCATGGACATCAATTCCATCTTATCTCTTGAATCTCCTAAACAATTCTTTATTAATGACACATTTTATCATTTATGTTTTTTAAATTTGACATAGTACATTAATTTTTCCACATACAAAATGCATTCCTAGATATGGCATTTTCCTATGATACTTATATTCTCTCTTATTTTGTAAGTGGTTTCATTTCAGAATATTTAGCTGCTTGTTGGGAATTCATTTAGTTTTAGAACTTGGGTGAGAAAAAAAGTATATTTCACTCCCATATTGGTCCTATGTTTCAAATTATCTTTCTGTTAATTGGTCATTATCATTATTATTAGTTATCTAAATATATAAAATTGCTTGTCCTGACTGACTGACTGAATGACTCACTGATTCATCATTGCCCAGAACAAACTGCTTAACCTAAAGAGGTGAAATTTGGTAGACAGTTAGGGTACGTCATGGAAACGCACACTAAGAAGGGATTTTTCGAAATTCCCCCGCGGGGGGAGAGGCAGAGGATTAAGGCTTAACCGGAAAAACAGCTTCTACTGTACTATTTTAGATGCAATTTTTTGTTTTTATTTGCGCTGTGGTAGAGTATGCCATGAGAATGTGCACTAAGAAGAGATTTTTCGAAATTCCCCCATGGGGGAAGAGGGAGAGGATTAAGGCTTAACCGGAAGAACAGCTTCTACTGTACTATTCTAAATGCGTTTTCAACTACGTTTAATTTTCATTGAGTACTTAGATGTATTAAATTGATAACATTTCAGACATTGTTATAAATATTTTTATATATTTCGATTTTTTAACCAAATGTTCAAACCATTTTAAATTCGAATTTGTTATTGCATATTGGTTCGATTATAGAACGATTGTAAATGTTCCAGAAAATTGATGAAATTGAAAATAGTTCATTTGATTCTCGGCAATTCTCTTCAGCGGTAGGTGTTATATAACAATTTACTATGGTTATTGAAATATTGAATGTAAATGGGGTTTGCTTGCAAAACCTCTGCAGACGAAGTCGCGGGTAACAGCTAGTTCATCATACAGCCCATAAAAATTTTTAATGAGGTATTTGAACTTCAATATCAAAATTTTATTTACATCATAAAAAATTTCATCTCATGCTGTTTTAAGGTTTTGTTCCTAAATTTTCAAAATGAACACCAAGAAAATCTAGGCTAACCTTTGATGATACAATATTTACTCTCAATTTGTAATGAGGTTTGCCACCATTGTCTGGTTGTTTATGTATTTCCTTAAATCCAATTTCATTTAAAAATAATTTCTCATTCAATTTTAATGAAATTAAAAAGGCTATATCCAAATTATCTTTATTCACTTCCAGTTCTGATTTAATCCTTTCAATATTTTTTAAAAATTTAACACCTGTCACTGCTACTGTATGTCTATTTTTTTCCTGGTATTACAAAATAATTATGTACTACCTTACTGACAGTTCCTATCTAATAGCAATTCCAAAAACAAAACTGATTTACTTTATCCAATAACTATTTCCTCAGCTATGCTGAAATTTTTTGAGTTATACATTTACTGACATAGTTTCTGATTAATGCAAAATTATTTCTGGCAGAATTCTTATTCATTCTACTGTTTAATAATCACCCAAATTGCTATTTTAGATAATTTTAAAAAGAAACAACCTGCTATACTGTACATTGATATTAGCCATGCTCCTGACTCTCGTCCAAAGTCTCTTGTTAAATATTTTACAAAATGAATTTGACATTGATCCTGTTTTTAAAGCCTGGCTCAATAATTATCTGTTGCTAATTATTTTGAAAATTAAAATTAATGATTATTATTATTTTTAGACTTTCACAACTTTATGGAATCAGCAGGGATCCATATTCAGCATCTTTTTTTACAGCTTATACTAATAGGCATATTTCTACTTTGAACTTTTCTTATTATAACCTCAATTTGATTGATTTACTGTGTAACAATGCTGGTCATCTTTAAGACTGGCATCTCAGAGCATCATATTTTAGTGTATAAAAATATAGCATCAATTAGAGAATTGTGCACTAACATATGGAGGGTTTAGTTCTAAAGCAAATCAAGTCCAAATTAAAATTTCTTTTATTAACTATATTGTTAATTTTGGAACGATTATGCCTTACTTGTATACACTGCATTAAGTATACATATGAGTATGAGAGTTGTTCAAAAAGTTCCCAAACTTTATTTATTACAAAAAAAAAAAATACTTCACTTACAATTTATTTGTCATGGTCCCCTTCAAAGTAGTCTCTTCCTCAATGTATACACTTATCCCAATAGTGTTTCCACTTTTTGAAACAGTCCTGAATGCTTATAAGCTCCTCCATTGTTTTTTTCTATCTCTGGAATGATGGCAAATCTTTTTCCTTTGAGCATGTTTTTTAGTGTGCGGAACAGGAAGAAAGTCACATGGGGCCAGGTCAGGTGAGTAGGGTGAGTGAGGAAGCACAGCAGTTTTTTATTTTTGGCCAAAAACTCACAAGTTCTGAGAGACAAATGAGCCAGCACATTGTCGTAGTGAAATAAACCACTTGCCACTCATCCAAAGTTTGGGCCATTTTCATCTGATTCTGTTTCTTAGGCGTTTTATAACTCCCAGGTAGTACTTTGTATTGACTCTCTGGCCTATAGGTAGGTATTTGTGATGCACAACCCTTTTTATATTTAAAAAAAAAAAAAAACAGTCAACATCACCTTAACGTTTTTCAACGCATTAAAAGTGTGCTGGAATAGAGAAAGGTGTTTGTTTATTTTTATTTTTTATTTTTTTTAACATCACCTTAACATTTGAGTGAACTTGTCGAGCTTTTTTTGGCTGGGGGGATGTTTCACCCACCCATTGTAAAGATTGCACTTTTGTTTCAATGTCATATTCATAAACTCATGACTCATCACCTGTTATGATCATGGACAAGAAGGTTTCATCCTCTTTAGCTTGATCAAACAGTTCCTGACAGACTTGAACTTGATGTTGTTTCTGGTCTGCTGTCATCAGGCGAGGCATGAATTTGGTGGGGAACTCTATGCATCCTCAGTTTTTCATGCAGGATTTCATAGCCTGAACTAATTGAGATGCCACACTCTTCTGCAAGTTCCCTGACAGTCAAATGTCGATTTGCACGAATGAGATCGTTCACTTTCTTGATGTGGGGTCATCAGTTGACGTTGATGGTCATCTGGAATGCTCATTGTCTTCCACTGATTGCCGTCCCTTTTTGAACCAGGTAAACCACTCATAATATGCAGTACATTTTATAGCATCCTCACCATAAGCCTTGGTAATCAAATCAACAGTTTTCATAAAGGATTTCCAGAGTTTCATACAGAATTTCACAGAACAATGCTGCTCCTTCAAAAAGCTCATTTCAGCAGATCCAATTTTTCACCCAACCCCACGAACAACACTTCACATAAAAGGCCTTAACTAATCACCAAAACAAGATAGCAACAAATGGGTTGAAACGTGTTACTCAGAAGGTTTCCGTGGACACAACGCCTCCAAGCAGATTAAAAAATAAGCGTGTTATTCAAAAAGTTCCTGAACTTTTTGAACAACCCACGTATACCCATTAATGTATTTCGATTTCTTTTTAAAATAAATTAAAATTATTTTTAAATAAGTTAACTTGACATCTCTAAAATAGTTTGTTTGGACTTGGTTCACTTTAGAATTGAATCCTCCATATGTATGAAGCAAATAGTCATGTTTTACACAGTTTCACTTGCTTGAATGCGAGCATAATATGAATGTAGGAAAGTGCTGAACAAAGCTCGCCAAAATAACTAAATGAAACTTTACACATAAATGAGTTTTGGCAAAAATAGTGACAAGGATAGACCAAACAATTTTCTTCTGCAACAAGACATTTGTGATATGTGTCACTTATTCAATAAAATTCCTCTTATGGTCTGAATGCTATACTATATATGTATTTAGTAATTACTACTATATTATAATCTGATAAGGTTTTGGTTTATTTTACTTTATTAATTTTAATAATTTGTTTTTTGAATTTTATTTTATTTTACTTATTCTGCAAAATTGTGACTTTGGTATTGGTGCAACGATGCAAAATTGTATTTCTTAAAGCTAGAAACTAATTAGAATTTAATATTATGTATTTAATAGTGGCAAGAATAATAATTTGTAGAGAGAATTTCTATACTTATTTATGTTTTTTTTTACATAGTTAAGAAAAAGTCATCTTGCAACACATCTAGAAACATCCAGGGTGCGAGCATATTCAGTTGGAAGTCAGGCATCAACAAATACAAAGAAAAATGTAAATAGTATAGAATCAGAACTGGGAACATTAAAAAACATTGATGCTAGAGCATCAGTTAAATCATCTAGTGCACCACTTCTTCCCAGTGGAGCACAGCGTCATCGTACATCATCAACTAAAGATTACAATGAAGATCTTATGGAAATAGATTATAATCAGTCGTCATCACATTCTAAAAGTAAAGTTGGGAACAGTCACGATAATTCTGATCATACAAGACGTTTTACTGTTAGTAACACTCGACAACGTTCCAATAGTCGTTCATCGTCAGGTACTTCTCCAATGTCTTCTCTGATGGAATTAACTGAGAAACCTGAAAGGAATAAAAACAATGAAAATAAAGATCATGAAGATAATCTCCCATTGAAAGGTTTTTCTAGTTCCAAAACTGGCAATTCTATTGAAATTGTGAATATACAGAAAAGTGGAAGTATTTCAAATACAGAAGAAAATCAGTTACCTCATTTAGTAAGTCAAATTTCTGAATCAAAAAACAGTCATCTTATCTCAGGGAATAATAATTCTAATTTGAACAGTGAAGCAGTTAGTGATTCAACTCAGCTGTCTACATCAGTACCAAACCCTTCAGGAGATTATGTTAACCTTGATTTTAATCATACATGTTCTAATATTGTTATGTCAACTGTTCTTTTATCTGATAAATCTCATCTACAAAATAATAGTAATATGCCACAACTAGAATCTAATAATTCTTTGAAAACTTCTGCTATGCATGACTATATTAATATTCATCTTGGCACATCATTATCTTCAAAGAGTGATTACACTGTAATGGCACCTGTACAAACAAGTTGTGAACGAAATTCAACTTCACTTTCAAATACTGTTCAAACGTGTGATTTGCCAACCACTAAAAGTAATTCACAAACTCCTCATAGCCCTAGTCTGATGTATGGAGGAACAAAAAGTCCTTCATTATCCTCAGGTACATCAAGTGGAGGACAGACACCATCTCCATCTGCACGTTCACCTCAGTCATTCCTCACTTTTAGAAAACAGTTTTCTGCTCCAACTGTTCCTATTTCTGTTCGTGCTGATTCACCATCACCTGGTAGAAAAAGTTCTTATCCCATAACCACACCAGCCAAATCCACTATTGTTTCTGCCATAACTGTAGCAAAGCCTGTATTGGCATCTTCAATAAATACTGCCACTTGGTTAAAGAATTCACATTCTTCAGATGCCAGCTGTGTACCAACTTCATCAGTGAATCCACGAGAAGAAAATAATTCTGAGCAGAGTAATTTGAATATATTAACAGCACCAACATCGCCTACTAGCTTAAAAGAAAAGTCTTCAGAAGCAATGTACGAAAATGTTTCGATTGGTTCTGGATCGCTACCAAATTCTCGACCTTCATCAATAAGTAGTGAACGTGAACTGAATTACGCTTCTCTTGATTTAGCTCCAACAGTTGATGATGATAAAACTCCCCGCTCCCCTCGCAGTTTCAAATTGCAGCAACCAACTGAATCTTATGCTGAAATTGATTTCACAAAGTCAGAAGGATTAAGGCATACTTCAGGAAGTTTAAGAGAGGGCAGAGTCTAAGATATATTGAGATGCTGCTAATGTAATATTTTATAAGAAATTGAATCTGCCATTATGATGAGCAATAGATAAGAAATGAAAGAAATTATTTGATATTTCCATTTTGATCAAGTTCCTCATAACCAAACTGGAAAATTGTTGATTTTACATATATCATTGTTAGCATTACTGTTTGCTTTTTTTCAGCATTGTGTAAACATGTCATTAAATGCTAGGCCAATTTACTGTTCATGAAGAAACATTAGCATTATCATAATTAAGTAGTTAAACAATGACAATTTTATAAATAGATAAAAAGGAAAATATAATTCGAATATTTATAATTCTCCAAATAAAATTTCTGCATTGTAATTTTATATGTTTATATTTGTAAAATTACAAAGCAGTATAACCTAATTTAAATGTTAGAAACAATAGAATTGTTTTGTTGTTTGAAAAGATGAATAATTATGAATTGTGTGATAAGACTAAATATTGAAACAATGATGTGATTCAAAAGAAATTGTACAAAATTATGTTCAAGAAAGGAGATTGTTTCAAGTTCTTGCAAAGCCAAAATCATTATGTAAGTGGTTTTTTAACTAATGTGTATAAAAAATATGATGATAATTTAGTTAAATTTGCTGAAAATAATATAAGTAGTAATGTTTTGGAAATTCTAAAATTTTATCTTTATAAGAAATGGAAATTTTGAAAGAAGAAAAATATTTTTCAATCTATAGTAGTAATATTTTAGAAAAAACAAGTAAATTTTTTTCATGAAATTTTTATTAAGGATGTTGATTATATTGTGATTATATAAAAAATATTTCCATAATTTGTAAAAGAAATTGTAAGTTCTCTTAAGTTAAAAATTTGAAACCTGAAGTAAAACAATATGGCGTTCTGTAAGAAATTTTGGTTTTCTTTATAGATCAAATTCTTATTTGTGTAACATTGTATGACATGTATAGTAATATATTGCTGTCATTATTTAAGGAAAAAATTTAGTGCCTTTTGGTTTTTCAAATATATTTCCATAATTTGGTGCTTTTACAGATTTGCAAGATGAGAATAATATCTGAAACATATTATTATTAAAAATAATAGTATATTTCATCAGAATAAAGTTTTGTTGATGCAATTAAAATTTCAAGTTTTTACATTGATTGAACACCTAGAGTACCTCATTAAATATGCCTTTCCCAATTAAGTATATTAATTGCTATGCATAATTATTTTGTTTGTTTATTTTTGTTGTGTTTGTTTTGTTATAAAGGTGTTATGAGTTTTAATAAAATTATTGCCATTAAATGTATAAAAATTTTCATTGCAGATCATAATGAAATTAATAATTTTATTTGGTTAGCAAATGATTTTCATTTGATTAAACAAAAATATATATATATATATATATATACTAATTCTTTTTATAAATCATATATTTCTTCTTGCAGTTGTTTCAAAGTATATTTTTCATTTTACATATTTCTTGTTGGGACTGTCATCATTTGCTCATTCTCAAGAATTAAAAAGAAAAGAACTTGTTCAATAGTATAATACTGTAATATTGTATTGTTAAAAAAAGTTGAAATATCTAATAGAAATTGTGGCTTAATATACAGTATATTATCATATAAAAACATAATGCATATCTGTCATTGTAATATACCCAGTTTGTTGTTTATTGGCATACATATATTGGTATATATTGTTAATTATTCTGTTTAAATCTGAGATTGTGAGATAATGAATTTTTTCCTGCCATTGCTTTCTGCAATTCCTGGTGCCTTTCTCTTAATTGGACTGTAAACCTGCTTACTGTATTAACAGAATAATAATAATTAAATGAAAAAATGCTTAGCTGTATCCATGTTGAATCAAAGTTTGATAGAATAATTTTCAAAACTTAATTTGTGATCAGACTAGACAAATTTACAAATAGATTTGTATGTTTGAAATTGTCTTTTTTTTTATAAAATATTAAAAATGGAATTTATCTATTAAAATGATTAAGAATTTGTCATAACCTCTAATTGATTTTTAATTTAATGAAATTGCTAACTTGTTTAATATTTTAATTGTATAATGTTAACAAAATATTTTTTGCAATTTTCAGGTATTAATTAGCATACACATAATTTTATCCCATTTAACACTGCCTGTCCCAATAAATCATCATGTAGCCAATCTGTCAAATATATCATATTTGTCAGAAACAAAAATTGCTATCTATATATGTAAGACGAAAAATATTCAATTATGCTTCTGCATTTGTAAAATGACAGTTATTAATAAAAAGTGAGTAGTAGTTTTTTGTCATGACTACTCAAGGGAAATTTACTGGTTTAAAATTTTTTCCTCTTACTAAAGTTATTTAAAAAAATATTTTATGCAACTTATTGAAAATTGATAAATATACAGATTATATGTTACATTTTGAATAATTATATTGACTAAATACAGCATTGAAAATCTTCAACATTATACTATTATGATCAAAAAGTATCTGGAATGGTTCATTTAAACTATGCACATGCAAGAGGGTCATCATTTCTGTCATTTGACATGACTTTTATCATCAACTAAAAGAAATCCATGTGTCATCATCTGTTTTTGTTTGCAATAAACACTTGTTTTGTGTGTAAAGAATTTTTGCACCAACAGTTTTTCAAAATGTTGCATGTAACTGATTAGTGAATGTGCATTAAATTTTGTTTTCACTATGGAATTACTTCTACAAAAATGTTGGAAATGTTGCAAAAAGCATTTGGTGATGCCAGTCTCTCAAAAATGAATTTTCCAGTGGTACAAGATGTTTGAGGAAGGCAGAAAATGCATCGAAGATGAACCACACTCGAGTAGACCATCGAAGTGGATGGTCTACTCGAGTGAACTGATGAACATGTTGGTCAAGTCAGAGATTTGGTGCTCAGAGATCATCATTTAACAATTGGAGGCATTTGACAAGATCCAAATTATATGTTCAATAATTTTAGAAATATTATTTGGGCTTGCAACATGTGACAAAAAATGTAACTTTTTTTTCCAAAAACATGTTCAGGTGGCTGAGGAAATGCTTTTGACACTGAAACAACTCAACACTCAAGTGAATGGCACTCAAAAGGTGAAGCAAGACCAAAAAAACATCAAAGTCAGTTAAAATCAAGGTTATGTTGACTGTTTTTTTTATTGCCATGGTATGCATCACAAATTCCTTCCAACTGGCCAAATTGTCAACAAAGATTATTATTTGAGCATTTTGCATCATTTGCATGAAGCAATTTGTAGAAAACAAGCTGCTTGTGACAAGAAAATTCCTGGATTTTGCACCAAATAATTTACATGCTTACAATGCTCTTGTTGTTTGTGAATTTTTGGCCAAATATCGTTCCTCAACATCCATATTCACTCAATATGGCACTGTGTGACTTCTTCCTGTTTCCTTAACTAAAATTTGCACTTTGTGATCACCATTTTGAATCAATTGATGCCATAAAACAAAATTTGCTGCAAGTCCTGAAGTGGTTTAAATGACTTTAAAGGATGTTTCGAGGATTGGAAAAAACATTGACATATGCATTGCAGTGGAAGAGGACTAAATAAATTTTGATGGATAAATTCAAATGTGTTTTATTGAACTATTCCCAATATACTTTTTGATCACATGTAGTATAGCAAATTACAGTGAAAACTCTATATTCATAATATTTGATATTCATCACATTTTGATGACTCCCCATACTCGGCAGTATTTTCTATATTCATCGTCATTCCCAATACTGGCAGTTATGCTACAATCACATGCCTGTGACAATCAGCTAGCCAAGTTAGCTTAGTGTTGCCAATTTAGCTAAATGTTTTACCAGATTTAGTGGCTTTGTGAACAATCTAGCTATGTAAATTACCTGAATTATAATGGCCTAGCTATTTTTATAATGCTATCTAGCTATAAAAAATTCAAACAGTTTTAATGGAAACAAAATGATTTGAATATTCTTATTAAAATATCTAGCTATAATCTCAAAATTCAAATAATTTTGAGTTGGCAACACTATGTTAGTTAGCTTTAGTTAATCAGTCTGCTTTGTGAGTGGTTGTGTGTGTTCTTGGTTTCTCATGTTGATTTTCAAAAACAAGTTACAATGACTCTTAACAAAATGCACTGAAGAAAAACAGCAAAAAAGGAAAGCTGTTAAAACAACAATAGAGAGAAAAAATATTATTGCTAAGTCTGAAAATAGACAAAGTAGAGAGGTTGCGGCCGAAGTTTTCATCTCTAAAATGTGTTGAATACTGCCATCTTGTAAGTCTAGAAGTTTGACAATGGCGTTTGGGATGTCATTGGAATAATGCTCGACATTCCAAACACCATTGTCAAACTTCTAGGCTTACAAGATGGCAGTGCTCAATGTTCAACGTTCATGTTTTAGAGATGAAAACTTTGGCCGCAACCTCTCTAGTGTTTCCAACTTAGCCAAAGAATTTAATATGCTGAGATCATAATTGGAATTACCTAATGTTTTAATTGATGGTATGTTTTTCTAAACAATAATAACCTTACTCTTCTTCCCCTTCTACTATTATGCTGTATTTATTTAGTACAATAAAAATAAAGTTTTACAAACAACAAAATTTTTATTCTTTTATCTTTTTTTAGTATAGGAACAGATTAGTTGAATATCAGTTATTTATTATGAGAAAAATTGTTTCTATGTTCATCATTTTCCATATTCGTTAGATCATTAGATACAAATTAATGATGAATATAGAGGTTTCACTGTATATTGTAATATTTATGAAACAAAATCTAGCCAATTTAATTTCGTTGTGTGAAATCAACACAATGTATAAATAATAATGTTATAAAAATTATTTGGATGATGGAAAGCCACAGTCAGTGAAAAGTTGCTGAAGAGTTTAGCAGGCTGAATCTTGGCTGCTGTGTGTGTTTGATGGGAAGTCTGGATGTAGCCTGCTAAACTCCTTTGGCAACTTCTACTAACTGCAGGTTTCCACCATCAAACTACAAGGGGCATCCAGAAAATGAATGTTTGGTTATAAAAAGGAAAAAACAATAAAACTTTTTCCCTTTCATTACTAAGTAATTAGTATAAGACCAGTTACTTTTCTACATAGTCACCGTTACAACTAAAGCACTTGACATAATCCAATACTAGTTTTTGGATTCCTTTGTCATACCTTCCACCACCAGTTCTTTCACTGGTTTGTGACAAAACTTTTTTCACCTCATCATCTATTCCAAAACATTCAAAATCCACCCAAAAACTCTTTCAATATGGGAATGAGGTGAAAGTTATTGGGACCAGGTCAGGACTGTATGATGGGTGGTCAAAAATGTTCTGGCCAAATTTTTGAAGCAGAGTTTGAGTGGCTTCAGCAGAGTGCAGTTGTGTGTGGATCTTCTTTGATTAAATATTAAACACCATTTTTTCACGCATTTTTGTTCATTATGTGATCACCATACACTTCTG